ACTTCTTGAAATCAGTTTCCTTAGCCAAAACATGTGTATAAGTGCTGAAACCCTGCTCTGTTTGCCCTAGGAAATAATCACCTTTCACCTCAAACAGGCAGAGTACCTTCTTTTATACCTATATTTCTGCTGACAAACAGAGACTAATTACTCTCCTACACTCCAGTTTAGGCTGGCAGACCAGGCAGCCCTTCACACCTTCCTGTCTCTGAGCAGGGCAATCAGTCATGGCTGATTCCCAGCGACACCACCAATGGCTCATGATTCATCAGTCCAGGGACTCTTAAATCGGCTTCCTGATATGAACTGCATCTCAAAGAGATACTCAGTTATATCCAGGTGGAGATCTCCTGTTCTGTTTGCTTCACGCTGTGCAGATCTTCTTTTGATTTTAGCAGCTGCTAATAAGTAGAAGAATCACCAGCAGACAACAGCTATCTCTCTGGAGACAGCTGGCGGTCTGCAGATCAATTCAGGAATGACTGATCTGTTCCCTGCAAGCACAGGGAGACAGCAAGGTCAACCATGCCATTTCTGTCCAACCTTCCTGCCGCTGAAGGCCACTTAACTGCAGGTGTAAACATGGCTCAGTGGATCTGTATATGAAGTACATATAGACCTCATCTGGGAATACTGACAGATCACCCATCCTGTACATGTGTCCCTGGGGCTCTTGTCCTGCCTACTTCTGATGACACTCTGGGCAAGAGGGTAGTATGCATAAGCTGAAAGCAAATGAGATCCACAGTCTATCAGTTGGATGCTCAAGATCTGCCTCTATTGCCACTCATTTGTATCCTTATGAAGCACCGCAACGTTAATGGACTGAAGGCTGAGACCTCAGACATGTACTTGATGTTTTACCTCTTCTCTTTCTTCAGTTTGGGAGTATGCATAGCCAATAGCTTAATTCTCCTGAGGCTCTTCTCACTGATGCTATTTAGGCCATCTGTGGGCATGCAGTCCACATACAGGTGATACAGTAGCAGCGCCTGTGTCTTCTTACGCAAGCTGTCAGCAGAAACTACCCGTTGTGCAAACATCTGGGGATCTTCAGCCAGAAACAGCAGGCAGACTCGTGGCACCCAGTACTCACATGACAACAATGGGGCTCTTCCTGGGAAATGAAAATAAAGCTTACGAGACTCTGAAGGGAACACAAAAGTCAGAACAGCTTGCAATGCTGACAGCAGCTTTTTGATGAGTAATGTAATTGGGCTGGCTTACTGGAGATCAAAATGAGGGACCAAAGCTGAGGACAGCAAGACACAAGGAGCATGGAATTACCAGCATCTCCAAACCTTTCAAAAGGGGGGTACTTCATCTTAATCTGTTGACATACCCCCTCAAAATGGCATTGGCCCTCAAAGACCAACATTTAACTTATCTTGAAGGCAGGAAAGATGGGAGACAGAGAAAAAGGAAAGGTATCTCCAAAGGGAAGGCCTCAAATAGGTTGTCAAATTAAGGTGTGGCATTCTTTCCCCTAGAGGTTTTTCAGGACTAGTTAAACAGAAATGTGTTAAGAGTGATAACAGGGAGACAAATTAAATAATTTCTTGATGTCCTTCTCGTCTCTACCAAGGACCACCATGGGTAATGGACTGGCTTTCAGAGTATATGCCAGGTCCCAAAAAGGCCTTTCTTGAAACACACCTTCTGGAGTTATTCCTCCATTGAGGATGGGTCTCCCTTCTTCATCCCGCACCAGCCCATTCTTATCTGTTTTATGGACCAAGTAGAGCTCTGTCTCCTTGTCGTAATCCAGAACACCAACATCAATCCACTTGTAGATTAACTTCTGGCTCTTGGGGTCCTCTGAGAGGATCAAAGATTAAAACAAGGTTAGTCCATTCTCCCGGAGGCTACAGCAAATGGACTTTCCTGATCAGAGTGGTGAGGCTACAGTCAAATCCATTTACTAGCTTGAATCTCTGTCAATCTCACATAATTTCTGCTGTGATCAACTAAATAATGAACTCGGGTCTTACAGCTTAGCATTTCTAACTGTTTGCACACACCAGAGACCTCCATTTTCCTCCTCTTACCTCTATGGTTTCCCCGTGGACCATCCTCCCATCGCCTGCTTCAGGCACTCCCACGCAGTCTTTGCAGCCACAGTCTCTTATTTGGATCCTGTATGGCCCTACATCCTCTCTTTCAGCCGATGCCTGGGGACCCCTCTGCCTCCCAATTCCTTCACTCCTTGATCCAGGACCTATCATTATCCACATGGGCTCTATGGGGATCCCATTCTCCTTTGCCATGTGTGGCTCTAGCCCTGTGTTACCCTCCACACGAGTCCTCATTCTTCTAATTGGGAGTGGGCGTAAAACCCTGTACCTTCTCCCAGAGTCTATTATTTCTCTGGGTCATTCTCAGAGCATCTAGCTCTTAACTGTTTGGATCCTCTTAAATGCTGTGAGGTGCCAACCAGACAGATAAATATCTATATTGATACCAATACAGATACAGATCAGGACAGCATTATACTGAAGTTGAGAACGGATGCTGCTAACCTCGGGTCCGAGCTATAGGAATTGGCAACAGTGCTGGCACTATACGGATGCCAGTGGTCTTACCTCCCCCAGGGCCTAAAAGGTCTGACTACTGGTGTGCAGAACAGTCCATTCAACCTGGGGAGTGATCAGGTGTAGTGTTCCCCAAGCCAGCTGCAAGCAGAATGCAGCCATCACATGCTGGCTGCCCGAGGATCCACACAGCTTATGTTTTATACTTATGTTTTACAGACAGCCTAGCCTCTGGAGGTTGCCCCAGAGCTGCAGTCAGTATGCATGCCAGTTCCTATGCTTTAAAGCTAGTGCAGGTGTGTTGACATGAGCCACAGCCACAACCAGACACCAATACATCTGTACCTAGTGATGCCTTCTCATTGGGAAGGCTCTGAGTGATAGGAAAACAATAGGCACCCACATCACTTAATTTGCCCCAAATTTACTACTTGGATTTTCACTGCAGTCTGAACTTGACTTCCAGTCCTGCACTTGCAGTGAAATCCAGGAAAAACATACTGTGTTCAAGCTAACTAACTAACTTCATAATAACACCAAATACCAATAAAGCAAAATTTTGACTGTACTGACTTCCAGGCACAGAAAGGAGGGCAAACGGCAGAGGCTACTTCTAAAACAAGTGCAAATAGGCAGTCCAGGGCAGGACTGACAGTCATTGAGATCCCTAGTCTCTTGATCTGCTTGCCTGAGCCTGGTCAGAATGAGTTATTGCTTTTCTGCTATTCAGAGCTGCATTTGTCAGAATCTACATGTTCCCTTCTGCTGAATGGGCCCGTAATTGTTAGCATGGCCTCACTTGAGCAGTAACTCATTCAAGCTTTACCATGTCCTAGTACATCATCTGTAGGCAAAAGTGCTTTTCCAGGCACTGGCTTTCTGTCGTGAGAACCTGGCTCCAGTCCTAGCGAGATCCACTCTTCTGGAGTTCGACAGTCATACTCGTCACTGTCAAATATCTAAAAAGCCAGGACATGAGTGAAATGAAGTCTTACTTTAGAGAGAAGGAAATACCTGATACAAAATTTCATGGAAGGAAAATTAACATGCAGTTCCTAAATGGGCTACAAAAAGGGAACACAGTCCAGGTGCAAAAGCTGTGCTGATCTTTGATCAACAATCCTTTTCCAAACAATATCTGTACCTCTAGCCCTTTCCTAGGGAGAAGAGACACCACCTGGAGAGGTCTCATGCAGTAATACTGCTGACTACTGCATCTGGAAGGAAACATGAGACACAACCTTTTCTATGGACACACAAATGACAGTGAGGAGCACCCTCAAGGACTATTAGTTCTGATGGAAGTTGTGGGCATCCTGCAGAAGATCCTCAGCATCTTGTAGAGATCCTTCAGGGCCCAAACCTGCTCTAAAGCATTTCCTTGTTTTATCACTTGTATCAATGATGGCTAAGTGTCCTGCAGTTTTCAGAAACATCCTGTGCTATAAGCAGTGAGATAGATCCAAGTGCCAAACACTCTCTCTTACCTTTAATGGGAGGTAGATGGGAAAGAGAGGATCTTTCTTCTCCTCAATAGTTGGCATATTGTCAGGATCATGGTGCCTTGGCATCAGCTGATTGGAGTCTATCCCCTTGCTGGCTAAGAGCTGAGCAATATCAAAGGTGAGATATAGCCGTCTTCTCCTGTTTTGAATCAGAGGAGGAAATAATCACTTAATGCACCTAGAAGGGCTGCCATGCCTGCAACTCCGATTTTTGATCATGCACCCCATCAATAAAAAAAAGCTTTTGAGCACACACCACATACAAGTGTATTTTTTTATCTATAGAATAGAATAGTTTGGTTGGAAGGGACCTACAATGATCATCTAGTCCAATTTATAAATTTTACATGTCCTACTGCACCGATATGTACATTATAGAGCATACACAAAAATAGAAATTAAAAAAGGATGAGAAAAGGATGAAATAAACACTATTTTGAAGAACTATTTTTTTCCCACATCCCAGTGAATTGTCTTGTGCACTCCCTGCGATGCACACATCCCACTTTGGAGACCACTGCCTGACAGGATGGTATTTTCCTAAAGATTTTTGACGTGTCATGTCTTGAAAGCAAAAATCAACACCCTAATCTGTCCATTCCGTAATGATTCCGTAACCACTTTCTGGTTACTTACCTCTCTACTTCAATCTTCCGAGGGCATTGCCCTGGAAGCCCTTGGAAGCCAATCTGCACTTTGGGCTTAAATGATTGTTCTGGGAAATCTGACTTGATGAGGTTCTCAGTGGTTGGTCCAATCACTTGCTTATCCAGGACATTTCCAAAGTCCTCAGGCATCTTGAAGGTTGTGACTAAGAGACAAAGAGAAACACACATCTGAAACCACCAGACATCACTCTGCTTTACATTCACGCACACAGGAGGACTGTGCTGTCTCCTGGGTTGTCTGCAGAAGTTACTTGACTAGGTTTGAGAGAGAATTAGGCAGACATCAAATGCAAAACAGAAAAGAAGACCTTTTTTCCTGCTGCAATATGTCATTGTGGTTTTCCAGTATCAAAATGATGGCATAGAAGAAGCCTCCACTGAGTATTACTGTCATGCACCTTATTAGGAGATAGGGCACTGACCTGGCTCTAAGGAATCTGTTTTGTTCCCAGCTTTCCTACAGACTCTCTACACAATTGTGAGTAAGTTACCGTCTCTAGTGCTCAGCTTCCCTCACTCTCAAAAAGGGGTGGGATTCCCCTGCCTCCCTGGGGTGCCCTGAGACCGAGTCAGCTGTAGCTGGCCAAGGAACTTGATCAAGACGGTGATAAAGAGCTTATGAATATTGCAGGAGAGAACAAGCCGCTCAGGTTGCTTGGGACAAACCTCTCCTCAGTTTTTGCTCAAGCGAACCTCCCACTCACATCAGCAGTGGTGTGAGAAAAAAATGAGTTAAAGAGCTAACAATCTCACAATTTGGCCAAATGTTTTCAATGGAAACTAGGACTAAGCAAAAAGTATACATTTCCAAGAATTGGCTGAAATTAAACCATGTCATTTACTCCATAAATAAACCAAATGTTTATATATACAAGCCGCAAATAATAGAACAGCAGCAAACTAGGAATTTGAAGCTTAACCTAAATTAAGTAATTGCATGCAAGCTTTAAAAACCACTATTCCCTAGACAGAGCTAAGCATTGAGCTAAAAATAGATTTAACGGAGTGAGAGCTTTCGTTTGATGAACTTTCACACTCTACCAAGGAGAAATTTAAGGTTCTGGCTTGTAAGTGGGTATTTTGGATGTCAAGCTTTGGACCAACTCCTTCACCCTGCTCCATGTGCTTCTGCTTGCGTCATGGATGCGACCCCTTGATTTCAAAGCAGTTGTGCAGAGCAGCCAATAATGCTGAAGCCAGGCATGTTCCAGGATGATCATGTACAGAAAGGGTCCTCTAAGAGGTCATTCCCTTGCCCTTCTTAATTGGCCCGACTTGACCCTTGTAGCTGTACATTGTCTGCTTAGGGACTAAAGGAAGTGGCCACTGAACTGGCTCCCCTCTCTCTACTCCCCTCTCTTAGGAAGGTGCGCCTAGCTCGGAATAAATACAAACCTAAACATTTGCATTGTCTATTCCAACATGCATGCTTACGATAATTTTGAGGAATCTCTAAAATGCAGCTCCTTAGCCTCATGCCTATCTCTTGCTTGGGGTCTTTTCAGAAGGGCCCTGATTTATATTTGTTGTCAGGGAGCACAGCTGTTCCAATTTTGTCACTTCATTGTTGCAAAATCCATGGCACCATCCATTACGGCACTTTGTGCACTATCAACTATTTATGTCAATACTTAGTGTTTCATTTGCATTTACATTTCCAGCTTGATAGCTTCTTCCCCCTTGAAGAAGCAGCAGATCATAAATAGAGATCTGTCTCCACTTGTTAGGGATGAGTCTAGCTTGTCAAGATTCACTTGAGGATGCAGTCATTTGTCCTCACTCATGAAAATAAATGTCACTTCTAAGCACAGGAAGGTGGTATATATAGTTACCATCTTTCTCTCAGACCAAAATTCTCTCACATGCACACTTTCTCCCCACCTGCTGCCAGCCTATGATCCATACCCCCAAGAGTGCTCTAGGGTCCAGGAGACTGCTGGCAAACCTTTCGACCGTTCCTATATTTGAGCATCCATGATACGAGCTCTTGTAAGCAGGTGGGACCAGCAGCTCTGTATACACAAAGATCCTTTGCATCTAGGAACAACAAGCCACTCTGGGGTGCAGTTGGATGCAGAATGAATATATGAGCAAGGACCATGATTTTGGCTACGAGTACCTGCACCCTGAATACAGCTCTCACAGGCAGGTCCCGTTTTCACAGGAAACGATCATTGCTGGCTCTGTATGCAGTGACAACACACGCAAATTCAGTGCTCTCCTGGCACCTGGCCCACGGGACCAAAACTCCCATAGGCAGCAACACAGTCCACCCTGAACCCTGGGGGGAGCGGATACATCCAGGTGAAAAGGGAGTATGGTTTTACCACCCAGTCAGATCACTTTGCTCCACCACTAAACTAAGTCCACTTTTCACAAGAGAATCAAGCAGCTCAGCGCCATTCCTGTGCACTGAGAGGAGAATGAAAGCAGTGCACTAACCCAGAGCCACCAACCTAGTTCCCCGCATCCTCATTATAAGCAGCCGTAAGAGTTACGGCCCCGTTTCCTGCCATGTCACGTTTCCTCTCAGTATATTTACCTTTAGGGATGTGCTGCTCGAAGTCTGCCTGTCTTAGCAAAGCATGGTACATGCGGGGGCCAGCACAAACATCCTGAAATGCAGCATGTGAGGGAAGTGTCAGAGATAACAAAGCATAGTTGTAGTACACTGCAAGGGTGGGTTATAGAGGTCCAGAGAGAGAGCGAGCCTATAAGACCCATTTTAGCAGAGCTTTAGGGACAATTGAGACTGTGAACAACAGTCAGAAAAGGCTCAAAGAGGCACAAATACCTGGAAACTTCAGCCCAATGCACAGAGAGACAGGGAATTTGTCAGCAGAGTGCTGCCTGATGTCTGCTTAAGATGCGGATTGGGGGCTGATTAGGCAGGCAGTCATTAGGGTTTCACTTCCAAATATCATCTGCAGTCCAACTACTTGCTTGCCTTGCCATGCTGGCATCCTAAACCTGGGCAACATCATGACAGTGATAGCACTGGCCACTGAGGAAGGCAGCACAATTGTGATCAGGAAGAGCCTTATGCCTTCACTTTTTAAGGGTCAAGGTCTTGCACAGAGGGCTCTGACAAAAATGAAGGGCTAGGACCTAGGGTGAAAGCTATATCTCCACACCAGGTGTACCTGGTCTTTCCATTTTAGAAAGACAGTGGTAGAAAAAGAACTCTTTGCACTTACCACTGAGATGTTGGAGGCTCCTGGAGTGAGGACATCAGCATAAAATGTCTTTTGTCTAAAGGCTGAGTATTTTTTTGGCCTCTGGTTGCAGCTATCAGGAAGCAACAAACTCGTTCCTGGACTGCAGTCAAAGCATGAAGCCTCATTGCTTGTATCAGGCGGGTTGGGGCTCCTTCCCACAGAATTCATCAAATCCTTCTTTGCTTTATCCATCTTCCTAAGAGAACAATGCTGTGATGCAACCCTGGACTTGCTAGAGTGGAAAGACATTGAGCCTGTTAAACACTGTATCTTTGGCACTCCTCCACACCCTCCCACTGTGCTGGATACCGTTGGCTTGCTAAGAAGATGAGGGGGTAACAAGGTAGGTTCGACCCCCTGCTTCGGTACCAAGTGCTGCCGTCATGACCTGGGGGCCATCAGTCTCATGTGGCTGACTGGATGGCTCACTAACCCTGGGGAAAGATCGCTTTATTATTCCAAATGGGTTTTGGAGGGGGAAAACCAGCAGTATATGCATGAAAAGCTGCTTTCCTGAAGCAGCAGGGGCTTCCCGGATCTGTGGCAGCATTCAAAAGGCTGCCAGGAGAATTTGAGTAAACTAGGACTACAACAGAAGCGCTACTTTTGCTGTACCCAAATCCCTTAAAAACCTTGTCACGCTTGACTCCAGTGGGAGTAGGCTATAGCCTAGATACCAACACAGCTACTCCCAGGTGTAGTCTGATTCTTTAAATAATAATTTAGGAGAGATGTTTAAGCATCGCCTAACAAATATTAAAATATAGCCAGAAGCTCCCCTCTCTCTCCTCCTGCAGGCGGTATTTCTGCTGGTGATCTCAGCTCACAAATAATTTCTACTCTTCCACCTTGGGAGACACAAGTCCAGGCAAATATCACAGCTGTACAGCTTTACTTTATAAAAACCTTCACACACTGAGAGATACTAATTAAGAGAAGTCCTCAGACTTCTGGCACAATGGTAATGCAACCCTTGATTTTAGGCTTGTCTAAACACAGAGATGACTACTGTAACTAATTAGTACAGCTAAAGTGACACAAGCCCCTCCAGCCTGCACACATGCGCCGATGTAATGCTGTACACATACCCACACAGCTTATTCCTGTAAATTATGAGTCAAAGCTCTCCAGTGTCTCTCAAGGCTACTCCAAGTGTGATACAGCTTATTCATCAATTCCTGCTTAGCGCTAGACCCAGACTCCTCATCCAGCCCTACCTGATGAACAGTTTGTGTCCTGCACCCTTGCTAGGCCCCACACATCTGCCTTGCTTACTTCCGGAGGCCAAGCCTCTGCAACAGGCTGCTGCATGGGAGTCTTCCAGCTTGCTGAGGCTAAGTTTTAGAAAGACCTTGCCTGGTCTTGCAGGCCACAGCTGGCACGGTACCTGTCTGGAGTCTCATCCTGACATGGAGATGACAACCCAGCATCTCTTCCCGCCATGCCCTCTCTGCTCAGCTCTTGAATGGAGTGAAAACTCTGCCCATCCTATACTCTTGATCAGAGAGGGCAATTTTTTCTAAATTTCACCTTGCTGCCTGTCTGCAAGAATGAATCAGGTACACACAGCAGAGAAAGCATTACATGCATGCTGGAGTTAAGAGGGAATAACTGTGCTGGTTTATTACTGCAGGTTCAAGTCAGTGTGCAATTTTGAGAGGTTGAATCAAAAAAAGAAACCAGATAATAAATCAAGGTTACCACGATGCGAATCCTTTAAGCGAAACAGAGTAAGTGAACAGATTGGAGAGACCTGGGAGACGAGATCAATAATACCCCCTCCCCTCCTTCAAGCTAGAAAATTTCAAATCTTTCTCTCAGCTTCTCTTTGGCATGGCAACTGGAACCTCATACCCTGAAGAATGAATTTTCCATGGAGGATTTTGTTTTTATTAGCTATTTTATGCTCTGGCCATATCTATTTTAGCAGCCCAGCAGGATTGATTGGTATCAGCCAAGATCCAAGGATTCCTGATGAATCACTGCTGGACTCTTTCATGCCTGCTGCACAGGCACAGAGAACAGCAGCAAGGCAGAATGACCCTGCAGTGGCTCTCCTGATATGTCACCTGAGCATCCTCTTCCTGGGAGCAGGGCTGAGGTGGCAACATGACTTGCTGTACTTTTACCTCTTAGGACCAGAATCCTAAATCCTTTCAACTTAAAAAAGTTAACTCCAGGACGCGAGGTTCATCTGAACCTTTAGCAGGGTGAGTGATTGAGCCCACTCCCAATTTAGCAGGACGGTCAGTCTCTGCCTAGAACCAAAATAATGTGGATGATGATGATGATGGCTGGGTTTCCATGATGGGGGAAAATGCGTACCAAGCCTGCCCACAGAAGGCCTAATTCTTCACTGCTTTGCTCCCTCTGTACTCACTCCTCCATAAAGTCCTTCCTGAGCACATACCTCAAAATAAAACAAACCCCTACTCAGTGTCCAGCTCAAAAACCTCCGTCACACTCTCCCAGCTGCACACAGGGATGGTGTGGTGTTTGTAACAGCTAAAAAAAAGCCTGACACACACCACCCAAAATAAAGAACAAAACCAGGCCTCCAAAGTTTTCCCAGCAATTCCCCAGAGAGAGGAGTAACACAGCTTGTCTGAGCACGCTAAAGCTGATACAGAGATGGGAGAACTGCTAAGCACAAAGGGAATCCTACTGTCCTGCCACCCCAGGTACTCGGATGTGGCCAGGGTTTCCAGCAAGGTTTCCCATCTGGTGCCAGCCTCCAGCTAGCGGGTAGTTTGGTGCTCCCATCCAGCTCTCAGGAACAGTCTCCAGGTTGGTTTAAAAGATGAGAAGAGAGACCCTCTCTCTTTTACTCAGCCTAGATGCTGA